AGCGCTCCAAGGCGCCGAAGATGACCCCAAGACGGCCCAAGAGACCCCCAAGACAGCCGAAGAGGCCTTCAAGACGCCCCAAGAGCCTTCCAAGAGGCCTCCGAAGAGGGCCCCAAGAGGCCAAAATCGTTGATTTTCATTGGTTTTTCCGATGTTTTTTGCGTTCTGGCTTTTTCGGCTTCCGGACGCTCCAAGACGACCCAAGAGGCGCCCAAGATCGCTCCAAGACGGCCCACGAAGCTCCCAAGACGGCCCCGAAACGGCCCAAGAGGGCCCCCAAGACGGCCCAAGTGCCGCCCAAGACGGACCAAGAGGCCCCAAGACGGGCCCAAGAGGGGCTCAAGAGGGATACAGAGAACTGAAAAATCGAGCCCTCCGCCCCAGAAGCCGCCCAGGAGGTCCCAAAGAGGCCCCAAGAGACCCCCAAGAGGCCCCCAAGACGCCCCAAGAGGCGCCCAAGAGGCCCAAAAGAGGCCCCAAGAGGCCCCAAAACGGCCCTCAACAGGCCCCAAAACTCGGCTAGCCCACCACGGCGCGATCATGCACTATGGACAAGCGGAGTGAGCGAAACGATTGAATCACATTTCATTTCAGACCTCCTCTGCGCCGCCTCCGAGGCCGTCCGAGTTCACCCCCCGTCTGGGCCACCCCCCTTTACGTTCACCCGAATGTCGGGCCCTGGGGCCCTCAGACATCGATCCGGGGCGAAAGAGCCGAGCCGGACGGACCACGTTGGAAGCCCGGGGCTCGATTCTGAGCCGATGTTCGGGAGAGCGCGTCACTGGATTCAGGCAGGTTCGCTTGCATGGGATTTTGGCTCCGCCGCCTCACGAGGCAGTGCAAGGCCGGTACAGCGTGCAAGTGGGTTTCGGCCTGAGCGATTCCAGATCTCCTTCGGGGCCTTGCCCGACCCCCTCCGTGCAAATAAACTTGCCAGAGTCTGAAGAGAAACTAGATTCAGGAAAAAAAACCTTATACGTACACTGGCGCGCAGAGCGCGCCAAGAGCGGCGCCGGAGGCGCCGCCGGAAGGGCCCAGCGCCGATCCAAGAAATCCGCGCGGACCCCCGAAAGTTTAACCTTATAGCGTTTTTTCTTCCTCGAAGAACGGCCTCTGGACAGGAGCGCTGGCCAGAAGACGACGACGACGAGTTCTCCATCGATCTTCGCCGTTCTCTCGGTCCTCCGCCGCTCTCGGCCTGCCGTGGGCCGCTTTCGAGCCCCGGGGGCCCCAGGAAACGGATTCCGGGCGAAGAACTGCCCCTGGGGTAGACCCCGTGGAACCAACGATTCCCCCGCCACCCCCACAGACGGTCGCCACGAATCGACACGAACCTGTTCCACCGGGGCATCTTCACCACAAAAGGCCGAACGCAACGACTCAACAAAAAAAACAGCCCCCGCTCCCTGCAGCTCCGCACTGCCGACGACCTCTCATCCAGTCGACCGCGGTGCGCAATACGGGCCGGCGGAATGAGCGAAGCGATTAATAATTATGAGAAGGAAACTCGCGCGCTTCGCGTGCGTCCGTCGACCGAAATTGCTAAATCAGGGCAATGGCGCGGCGACGACCGCGTTTGTCTCCACCAATCAATAATTTAAAAAAGGCAAAACAATTTTGTCGAGGCCCTGGTTTTGTTTCCTGGTGGGGGAGGGACCCGACGGATGTCTTTCACCCAAGACTGATGGACGACGAAACTATCGCACCACAAGCGAATAAACAACACGCGCAGGTTGAAAGGCGACGCAAGTGTCAGTGTTTCTCCCCTCCCAAAGAGGTCGATCCCCGGAGGACTCCAGACCGGAGGCCTATGGAGTTCTTCCTGGCTCGAACGCCATTCCCGATCCTCCGACTCCGATCCAAATCCGCTGAACATCGAATCCCAGGGCACCTCCTAGCGTCCATCCTCGGCAACTCTTCCACCCCCGATAGGCACGGTCGGCGCCTCCGGGCCCCCTGGAACAGCTCCCCGTCGAGGCTCGACAATCGGGGGGACGGCTCCGACAGTGCTTCAGGAAAACGATGGCCATGACCAAGACTGAGCGCAGAAACGTCGGTTTCGACTTGGGTCATCGCCAATATTGGTCATCTTCGAGTCGTGGATCACCCTCGCGAATCGGCGACGGCCAGCATGGACCACCACGACTGGCGTCGACCCAATCCCGCGACATCTTTGCCATGCTCAGCGTGTTTCTTCCCTCGACCGGCATGTCCTGAACTTGCCACTCCCAGCCTGCTGCCCGTCTAAGCCTGCGCTCTGGCACGCACGCGCAAGAACGTCACGGTCTGAGAATGCTCCGCCGCCCACGGCTCCCTTCCCCCTCCCACCCTGTCCTCCGCACGCTGTGCCAAATCAGGCCCCGACATGTCCCTCGGCTGCCCCGACCGCGTCTTGGACCCAAGGCGCCGCGGACAGAACAACCACCTTCCCTCGAGCCTCCCCACCCGCCGTCCTCGTTTGCAGAGCATGGGATCAGCACGTACTTGAAGCCCATGGCGCCCCGCCCCTGGGCCCACCCCTTTCGGGTCGGGCGAAAGGGGGGGATAGCAAAGGGAGGGGTTGAGAATCAGCTCACGTAGCTGATTTTCCCGGCGCCTCCCGGCGCCGGAGGCTTCCATGTATCGAGGAATGGGCCCCTCGGTGGGGCCGAAAACAGCTACATGCAGCAAATTTCGTAACCTCCCCTTTCCCAATCCCCCCCTTTCGTCCGGGCCGACCCTTGGCCTCCCGCGCGGGGGCCCCGGGCGGCGCGCGGGAGGCCGGGCGGCTTATAGGAACCTCGCCCCCCTGGGCCTTGCAGCCTGGAGAGGCGTGCGCACGTGCGCGCGGGGGGAGGTGATGGGCCTGATTTCCACCACCCTCACCATACGCTGGGGGGAGAGGGGGTCCTCCTCCTCCTCCTCCTCCTCCTCCTACTCCTCCTCTTCATCCCCTTCCTCCTCCTCCTCCTCGTCCTCCTCCTCCTCCTCGTCCTCCACCTCCTTCCCTCCTCCAACTTATACTGGTGGTGGTGGGAAACAGGCTCATCAGGAGGGGGGCGTCGAGAGAGCGCTGCGGAAGATCGTGAGAATGAGAACGAGAGCGGGCGGAAAACTCCCCACGTGCTGGATACTCTACGCTGCAACCCGCCAACCCAACATGCTGAATGCGCCTCACTCACTCACATCAAGAAGGGGCCAACACTCCGGGCGGCATGATCACCCGGCATACATGGACGCATGTGCGGCATACCGGGCCATCCGTGCATCATATTGTATTCCCTCTCCCTCAAATTGTCCTCCAATTTGTCCTTTTGCTTCGTTCTCCATTCCCCCTGCCCCACACGTGGCCTGTCTTGCTACCCACCCCCTGCCCGCCCCTCTCTGCATGTTCCTCCTTCGCCTCCTCCTCCTCCTCCTCCTCCTCTTCCGTCTCCCCTTTTCCCATCCCTCTCACGCTCTTCCCCTTGTGTCGCCAGTCCCTCTCCTTTCTCCAAACCTAATTTCAAATCCCAGCGTGCCAGAACACGCGATGCGGCCACCGTCGATAAGTGAAGTGGCACTGCTATGCGTCACGTGCATAGTGCGCGGTATTCACATGCGGAGGAGTTATATCTAGAATCGTTCTAAAAGACATGCATATATATATATATATATATATATATATATATATTTGAAGACACATATATTTAGTGCTCGGCTTTGTGTTCCCATGAGGACGAGCGGATGTGAATGATTAACGAAAAGCCCCCGACAACTCGTTCCGCGGAACGACGGGGCGCACTCAACAAGCCCCGCTTAACGATGGGGGCTTGCGCGAATGCAAGAGCAACGGAAAGAAACCGGCCTGAGCCTGTGACAAATGCCGTGCTGTATGAGCCAGGCACACGGCCAGGAACCAAAGGCCAAAAGGAAGAGTCGGAACGAACGTGGCCGGGGCCGAAAACAATCAAAACACATGGGTTCAACTGCACATCCACTGCCCGCCAGCATGGCCTGTCTGATCATAACGGAAAGACGTGAGCATGCAGATTACCCGTGGTCAGGGTCTTTTCAACTGTTGCTGCGCATCCAGGCCTGCAAAGAGCCCGAGTACCACGGGTGCGGAAGGCGACATGTGTTGTGGCCAGTAGACCCACATGCCAAACACTGCTGCGACGCCAAGAAAGAGAACTACCCCTGAGACATCTGGCACGAAAGATAGGGTCCAAAGGGGAACGGGTCCTGAATCCTTGGGGAAACGGCCCCAATCGAGCGCAACCTAGCTCCTATGGGGCCTAGGCTGGCCTCTATCAAGATCGCTAAGAGGTGGCACCTGAGCTTCCAATGAGAGACCCAATACGCCAAACTCATTGAACACACATGCTCTGTTCTATGCCATGGTCGCTGTCTCGCCCGGTCGGCCTCCAAGATAAACGCCGTCGGGCTCAAAATGGATAAATGAAGAAGTCGGGACAAAGTTCCCAAGATAGCCCAATGTGCAGACTCGCCGCGGGATCGTCAATGTGAACGCTTCCACTGAAACACGATACATGATAGCATCGGGTCAGATCTGTGAATGAGCTCACGACACCTACGAAAGAGACGATAGAGAGCTCAGGACAATCATGAGACAAACGTAACAACGCAAACACATACAGGGTACGTTTGACGGGTTGATCGTGCAACGTACCGCTGCCCGATTCCACATCGCGTCGCGGCCTCTGCGAAAGCATGTCTCTGCACCTGTCACCGTCCACCAGCCCTGGTTCAACTCGGATCCACATTCGGTCAGTCGGGGTTCGAGTGACCCATCGCAGGTATCGAATGCCTTGTGCCCATCGTAGGTGGTGACTTGTTTGTGTGAGTTGAGGCACGCCATCGCGCCAGCTCCAGAATGCTTGTGTGTTTGTCGCTCTCTCACTCTCTCTGTGTTTGTCTCTCCGTCCATCTGTCTGCCTGCCTGTCTCTCTGTGGTTTTGCTTCTCTCTCTCTCTCTCTTTCCCTCTCTCTCATTTTTCCAGCCGCGCAGCACGGAGACATTATCTTGCATCCTGGGAGGTAATCCAACAATGGAATGCCGCCAGAAAGATGCCACAGCCCGCGAACATGGCAAGCAGGATGTACCCGCCGAACGAGTCCTGCCAGGGAGGCGCGGGGAGCCATCGCGATCCTTGGGGCTCCGCACAACCAGCCCCTTAGCATGACTACCTGCCAGCCCCACCCCAACTCAACCCGAAGACCCGAATATCGGGTTGGGGGGGGGTACGGGCTTCACATGTGTTTTTGTAAATCTTCTCCGACCCCCCCCCCCACTGGACATGGAGGGCAAATCGGGGCCTTCGAGTTGGGTCGGGGTGGTTTGGTGGGTGGTGGTAGCAAGAGCTGGCGGTGCGATTTCTCCCATCCTCGGGCCCCCAGGCCCCCACCCCAGGGCCAGCCTCTGCCCCAGATCCGACCACGATGATCCCGGGGCTCGAACGTGGCGCCCGCGAGCTGGTGCAGGAGAAAGGCAAGCAATATTTTTGATTCGCGGGTCGAGAGCGCACCTCTTCCGGTCGAAGCTAAGCGGGCCGCGCGAAGCTTGAATTAACAAAGAGGGGGGGAGAAGGAGAAAGGCAAACAATCATACGCATCATCATCGTGATACAGTCGGCCCGTACCGTCAAGGATGCACAATAAAAGGATGCAGGGGCCTTTGGGAGGCCATTTCGAAGTTTTTCGAGCGGGACGCGGCCAGCGAAAGTGGCCAAGGGTGGACCGAGGAGGCAAGGCTGCAAGGGTACCCCTGTAGCCTGAGGAAGATGACCCATCCTTACTATGCGGGTTGACTGTACCAGAAGGAACGCCACATAGCCACGGCGGGCCTCGGCCGCGAACTGATTCCCCGACCTGGATCTGAGGAGTGGCCCGAAAAAAGCCGAGCCACTGCGGAACCCAACATGGTCCTTACTTCAACGCTCTGTCTGTATTCCGAGAACATGCAACGCGCCGGCCAGAGCGGTGACCACACCGTGGGGCGTTGACCGTACGGTTTGGGGCATGGGTCGTTCTCCAGGGATGTCTCGGGCCTCGGACGCCTCCACGGCCCCAGAGCCGTGCGGTATTGCACCGCGCGGTGAGGTCTTTTTGGGGGGATCTCGAAATCACCGCACGGTCTCTTACCGCACCTCGGGCGCGCCCTAACGAACCCTCGCAAACCATCCCCTGCCGGGACGTCATCATCGCCTTTCGGGCTCCCTCTGGCCGCATGCACACGTGGGGACGAGGCGAGGGGGACGTCACGGGAGGGGATGGTTTGCAAAAGGGTCGGTTAGGCCGCCTTTGAGCACCGTTTTGAGGCCCCCGACGAACGGCGAGCTCAGAGACCCCGCCCGCCCTGCGGCCCTGCCGTCTCTCAGGGCGCCGGAGGCGTGGGCTCTCTGGCCGCAATCACCCTCGCACTTGACGCCGTGTCGCGTGTGGCCGCAGTTCCATTCGCCGACGTTGTCCATCTCGTGCTGCCGAGTGACCCGGGCAGGTTCTGCCAGTCGCTTCCCAGCGCGAACGGCCGCCCTGCAGCGTGGAGGACGCTGCCGATCTGGCACAGGATGTCCAAGTTGGTGTCCTCGAGGTCCTTGCTAGTGTGGAGTTACAGCGAGGAGAGGACGAGACCCTCCTTGGGGCCTTGGCCGGTTGTCCAGAGGCCCTGTCGAGCAGAGCCTGCGGCGTGGACGCCGTCGTGCTAGAAACGTAGCCTGCGAAGGCGCCGCGTGCGGTCGTGCCAGCAGCCGGGCGCCTCCAGCGGTGCCGTCACCGTGGCCCGTGCGCCGAGCAGGGTGCAAGTCGGCTTTCTGGCCCCCGCGCCCTCGCCGCCTTCATCGCCGACTCGATCCTGCCCTCTTCGAGGTGGTGCTCCTGGATCAGCACCTCGACGAAGGCTCGCAGGAGACGAAGGGAGATCGGTCTGGTTTGCACCTGGCCATCCTCAGCCGCATGGCTGCCAGCGGTTTTGGGGGAGATGGGAGGCTTACGCGATGGCACAGCTTGTTCTATATTAAAGGGGCCCTGGGACACACAAATAAATACACACAAATAAAAAGATTCCCGATAATTTCCTATATTTTCTTGGTTTTTCTCTTCCCCCCCGCTTCCCATATTTTCCCACATTTTCTTGGGAATCGCCTGATAGATGCGGGGGGGGGGGGGCACTGGGATGGCGGGCCACTGGCCTTGGGGGGGGTTGCGCGCGCTCGTGGGCCCATCGGCGCGACGATCCCGTTCCACGTTCGCTCCTGGAGGGGGCGAAGAACCAGTCCGACTGGCCGTGCTGGTGCCGCGCGCTGGTGGCCGATCACCGCGCCCGGCTTACTCGCCCCGCGCTGGATCTGCTCGCGCACAGGCTGGTCAGACCTGCTTCGGGCGGGTTCGAGGGGCCGTGCTTCGGGGATGGTTCGTGCCACGCGCCGATGGCCAGTGACCCCAGACTGCGCAGAGCAGGCTGGGGACTGGCCCAAGTAACTTCGAGCGGGCTCGACGTGATTGGTTCACTGCGCAGCCCCCTTCCCAGGTTTGAATCCGAGCTCCGAAGCGGCCGAACTTCTTGCGTCCATGATGTACGTCGGCAGCGTCGGTCTCGGCCCGTGCGTGCACATCTCAGATTGCGAATTGGGTCGCACCGGGCTTCTGCAAACACCGCGCCGAGACCACGGGTGCACTGCGCGCGCCCGCCGACCCGTGGGAGGGGGCACGGGGCCGCGCTCGGGGCCTTGGGGGGGGAGGTGGCCGTCATCGAGGTGCGAGTTTATGCGCGCGTGCGCGACGATGGCCGCGACGACAGGGCCAGGTGGCGCCGCCTCGGCAGTAGAGCTGCCGACGAGTCGGCGCGCCGAGGCGCCCAGGTGCACCCTGTAGGTACTGTGGCCCAGGATCGGGCGGTCAAGTCTCCCCGGCTGGCCCAGCATGATTAGAGGAACGAGAACTATGCACACACACACACCGATCCTGGCCAGCACCATCCTGAACGCAGGATCGGTGCATACTGCGTGCGCCCTCTTACCTTGGCCGGGAAGGTACATGCACCGCTACTGGGTCAAGGATGGGCGTTGTCAGGATCGGTGCATGTGCATAGTTCTCTTCGCCCGATATGTTGGCAAGTTCCTGGCCAGGACGGTCCGAGCTGCTGGGCCCAGCCTGTCGTCTGCAACCCGCCGTGCGGTGGGGCTTCGGAGGGGGCGACGAATCGCCCCTCGGCTCCCCGACGGCGCTGCGCCTCCCGAGGGCGCCCGCGACCCTGTCTGGTGTCCTCAGGGTGGCTTCAGGCGCATCGGGCGCATGCGCTCCGGAAGCTCTGCCCAGACCCTGCGAGCTGGCCCGTGCAAGCCAGGCGCAAGCCACCGAGTTTGGGCGGTTGGCCCTTCTGTGTTCTGCAGTGCTTACGGCGATTGCCACGGAAGCTGCCCGCGTGGGTCCGCGGCCTGGGACCGCCTGCGTAAGCTGTGACGTGGCCGTCACCCTCGCAGTGGGGCCGAGCTTCTGGGTGCGGGGAACGGCCTGAGACCTTCCCTTTGTGGCTCATTCGCCCTCGACCACAAATTTAAGGACCTCGAGGTCCTGTCCCTGTCGGGGGATGAGGATGCTGCCTAGGTTGGTTTGGTCCAGGGACCGCTCCCGCATAGTTTTGCGTGTTTCCTTGAAGGTGGCACGCATTCCCTCTTCTGGCCTCCCTCCCCCCCCCTCCTGGGAGGCGCCCGTCTTCCCTTGATCGCGCTTGCGAAAGGCCGCTGGTTGCCAGTCTCTCTGACTGCAAACCCCCCTTCCTCCTCCTCCTCCTCTTCCTCCTCCTCCTCCGCCTCCTCCTCCTCCTCCTCCGCCTCTCCTCCTCCTCCTCCTCCTCCTCCTCCTTCTCCTCCCCTTCCCCCCCCTCCTCCTCTACTTCTCCCCCCCCCTCCTTCTCCTGTTCCACCCTCTCTGCTCCTGCTTCTGCTCCTTCGTCACCCTAAAATTCTGCATCACCGCCCGCCTCGTTCGCCCACAACCCCCCAACCCGACTGCAGCCGCGTCCTTATGCCGCAGCGCGTTCGGCACCCCCGAGACGTCGTTGTCGACGACGAAGGAATCGGCGGCGGCCTCCGCGCCCCCGACCTTGTTTCCGAAATATCGTTTTCACCGATCCTTACCGACGGTGCTCCCCAACGCTGGGGCACCTGCCGGAAAAAGAGGCTGCCAAGGCGCCCTAAGATACTTCCGAACTTGCCCAAGAACGCTCCACGAGGGCCCAGGGCGGCTTCTACACGGCAGAACAGAGCCTCAAAACGGCCGAAGGAGGCCCCCCCAAACGCTGCCCAGAGGCGGGAATCGTCAAACTCCTGTCGGAAAGCGCACATGTGTATTACTTTTGCTGCTTCGGTCCTCACACAAAAGGCCCCCAAGAGGGCTCCAAGACGGCCGACAAAAAAGGTTCTAAGACGGACCAAAGCATGCCCCAGAGGATCCCAAGCGGGTCCCAAACGCGGCCAGAAAGGGCCATAGGAGGCCCCCTGAGACGGCCCAAGAGGGCCCCAAGAGCACAAAGACGGCCCAAGCCCCCCAAGACGGCACAAGAGGGCCCTAGGACGACCCAAGAGGACCCCCATCTGGCCCAAAAGAGCCCCAAACGACCCCCAAGAAAACCCAAGAGGCCCCCAAAGACTCCCCAAAGTCTTCCAAAATGCTCACGGGATCTTCCCAATATGCTCAGGTCTCGCGCCGACGTCCTGCTCGGCGTCGCGTCCCCAGGCCTTCCACTAGAATCCCTGCGTGGCGCTCTCCAACAGATTCCTGGTGTGAGGCCTTCCAATCGAGTTCCCGTGTGGTGCTTTCCAAGGGATTCCTGTTGTAACGCCTTCCAATAGTCTTTGTGTGGTGCTTTCCAACAGATACCTCCTGTGAGGGTTTAACATCGGATCCTTCTTGTGCGCTGTCCAAAGGAGGCCTTGCACTAGAATCTCCGATTGAAAGCGCGTGTTCAAAAGTTCGGAGGGGGCGGGGATACCTCACCGCCCATGTATGGGACGGGAAGTGTCTCTGCCCGCCTGAAAGTTGAGCAGGCGGAATCTATTGGCAATATTCCTATTGGCCCTCTTTTTTCCACTCTGCATTCCTCCTCTTGTACACTCCGCGCTCCTGCCTCACGATAATAATCCGGTGGGAAGAACCACAAAGGGATTCGATCGGAAGGCCTCACAACAGGAACCCTATGTAAAGCGCCACAAAGGGAGCACTACATGGGACAGCCTCACAACAGGATTCTGCTGGCAAGCCTCACAATAGTAATCCTCTGGAGAAGGCCACAACACAATTCTGTTGGAAAGCCACAAGCAAGAACCCTTTGGGAAAACACCACTAAGCGAGTCGGGTGAGCTGCGGGCGGCGCGAGCCAAATCATTGTATTACGACACGGCTATAACGACGGAGGCAACCAAAAACATGCGCACGCTCTCATTTCTGCACCCCCATGCGTGTTGTTCCCGTTACGGGGGCAGGTTTGTCAGAACACCCAGTCATGTGTGTATGTATTAAATATGTGTATGTGCATATGTATATGTATGGGTGTATGTATATGTACGCATGTATGTACATATAAATGTGTGCAGGCATGCATGCATGTATACATATATATATATATATATATACGTGTGTGTAAGTATGCATGCATGCATGCATGCATGCATGCATGTATGTATGTATGTGGGTGTGTATGTTTGTATGTATGCATGCATGCATGTATGTATGTATGTGTGTATGTATGTGTTTATGCGTGTATGCATGCATGCATGCATGCATGCATGCATGCATGCATGTATGTATGTATGTATGTGTGTATGTATGGATGGATGGATGTATATGTATGTATGTATGTATGTATGTATGTATGTATGTATGTATGTATGTGTGTATGTATACATGTATGTAAGCATGATTGTGTATGTATGTATGTACGTGTGTGTGCATGCATGCATGCATGTATGTATGTATGTGTATACATGTATGCATGTATGTATGTGTGTATGTGTGTATGCATGTATGTAGGTATGTGTGTGTGTATGTATGTATGTATGTATGTAAATATGCATGCATGTATGTGTGTATGTATGTATGTATGTATGTATGTATGTATGTATGTATGTATGTATGTATGTATGAACGTATGAATGTATGAATGTATGTGTGTATGTATGTATGCATGCATGTATGTATGTATGTATGTATGTATGTATGTATGTATGTACGTTCTGATGTTCTGGGGACTTACTGGTGCCTCTTGGGGGCCTCTTGGGAGCCACTGGGAGCATCTTGGGGGCCTCCAAGGGCAAAAAGCTCGGAATGTTGGTTGGCGTTTCCCCTCGGAGTTTTGTCTCCAGGCGTTCTTAGGGCGCTCTTGGCTTGCGAGGAGGACGACGAGGAGGACGGAAGGGGGTGGCGGAGAAATTTCGAGTTCGTCTTCACTGCGCAGGCAGGGCCACCCGTGCCACGCGCAGCCGGGGCCTTTTGATCATTTGTGAGGAAGTCTCTAGCGGGAGCGCCGTTCCTGAGAAAATTGAGAGGAAGTCTCAGACGGGAGGGGGGGGTCCTGAGTAAATTTGGAGGAAAACTCAAGCGGGAGCCGTTGTTGTTGTAGTTCGGGGGGCCAGAGGCACAGTTTGACCAGGAAGACTTCCCCTGTCCAAAAACAGGGTGCGACCGTCGAGGGGCACACTTTGACTAAGAAAAAACAAGATGCACCGGTGACGGAGGATCAGCAATAATTATTCTTCAGAAGCGAGGTTTCAATAGCAAACCGAATTCTCACAACGGATCCGCACTTCAGCCACGCACCTGGGAACAAAGAATGAGCGTTCGGCCCCTCACTCTGATATATATATATATATATACACATTTACATGAGTGTGTGCGTCTTCCTTCAGGTCTCGCGGTGCACATCCCCACCGGAGTAACGATCAACAGCGGGTCTTCCGCGAGTTGGCACGGTGACCTTGAGCGGCGGCTAACGCGGGCCACCAGCAGCCACATTTAAGACGAGGGCGCTCACGCGCGACCTTGCGCGGGCAGCTTACGCACCAATGTCGGTGAAGACGAACTCTTTTTTTTTGCGTCGCTCACCTGGGGGGGGCGGGTTTGCGGAGCTGTGGTGCCATGGGCCACTGGGGATGGGGCTCGGTTTGACGATGCTGATTTCCATTGCCACAACGCAGGCGAGCGAGCGCCGTCGCGTTTATATCCTCCTCCTCCTCCTCCTCCTCCTCCTCCTCCACCTCCCGCCGATCCCTGGTGCCCCTCCCATACTTCAATCCTCCTCGGCTCCCTCCTCCCCCCCGAGGGGCAACGGTAAAGGGGGACTGGCTCGTGGGGGGGGGGCAACATCGACCCGGAATCAGCGACGCACTGCCGGCAGATCGGCGAATAGGTCCCCGATGGCAAATCGGCATGGTCCTGGGCCGGGGCGGGCGAGCAGACCACCATCGGCGATCCATGGGCGATTGGTGGTCGACGCGTCCCCCCCCCCGGATCGGTGAGGCGTACAACTCGGCGGTGGAGAAGCCTCCCTTCAGTAGACCTCCCCTTCGTGAAAACGGCCTGGGACCGAAACCGACGGACCTGGATCCGCAAAAAAGACGGCCGCGGCGCCCTCTCGCGATCAAAAACGGCCAATTCACTAATCGACGTGTCAGGGTAGGAGGTTTATCAATCTCCGAAAAACTCGGGTTGACCTGACGGGGCCGTCAGGAAAATGACTAGACCCAACCTGAAACTGGACGCGAACTCCCGCTGCAAACGTCCCATGGAAGCTGGACCGCCAAGATCCGGGACGCGCTCGCCAAAAAAGCGTCAGCTAACCCGAATTCTGGGGTATTCGAGTCTTCCGTTTCCTCTATGGTCCTCGCAAGGCAAAAATGCACACGTGCGAGCGATGCCAAGCTGATGGATGGGGCCCTACGGACGAGGGGCATCAAACAGTGCAAATCCGACCTCTGAGGACCCCTATCGCTGCCCCTGACCGCCCCCTCCTCCGGTCTCTCTCCGTCCTCTTCCGTCCTCCCCTCCTTCCCGGTTCCGATCCTCGGCGTCCCTGCTCAATCCCACTCCTAAGACGAAGCCAGGACGATAATACATCGGGTGAGGATAAATCGAGAATCTCTGAGATCCGGCGGCTCTGAAGGATATCTCGGGCGCCGCGGCCTTCTCAGAGAGTTCGGGAACGCTCTGGGAGCGTCCTGGAACACTCTGGAACGGCTTCAACCTCGCCGCAGCCCCTGCTTCCGACCACCACCACCTCCTCCTCTGCAGATTCCTATAGCACGAGTCATAGGTCGGTCTGAGGGCTATCGAAAATCCAGCCTGATACCTTCGACCATATTGCGAACCACTTCAAAAATCTTCTGACCGAAGTCAATCTAAACCCGGGCCAGTCAGGCGTTGCAAGAGCCTACAGGACCCTGCAAGATCCTCCACGCAAGCCTGGGTCCAATGCACTCCTAGCTCCGCAAGATCCTGCACGATCTAGCGCCATGGCCACCCCCGTTTGCATCGACCCCCGTCTCTGGAGCCCCGACCACTTGTCTCACCGAACGCCCGCACAGCAACGCAGCAGCGCGTGCCCGCGCGACTCAGCGCGCGCGCCCGCGCGCTCCCCCTCCCGTGATCCTGGGGGGGGGGCAGGCTCGGGTGGGGGGAGAACATAAAGCTTGCATCGGCGACGCAGCGCCGATGCAAGGCGGTAGGCCCCCGATACCAACTCCGCGCGGTCCTTTGGGCGGGGCGTGCTGTCGGGACCGCCATCGGCGGTCAGTGGGCGACTGGGGGTCGGCGGTGGATCTGGCTAATCCCACCAGCCCTTTGGGCGACAGGTGGTCTAACGAGGGTCTCTGTCCTATTCCACAACCCCTCTTCCCTTCGGGGAAGGGGAACCCTGAGGTTTTTTTGCGAGGCGGCCACGATGTGTCGGAGGCCCCTTTTTTCTGCCATTGGGAGGGCCATGTTTGCCACCCCTTCACGAGGATCGTGGCCCCCGAGGGGGGGACGCAAATCTAGTACCCCCGCTCTTTTGACCGACCGCCTCCAGGATGGCCCCCAGAGGCCCTCCAGGGCTC